AGGAATCTATCTCAGCAGTTTCATATTCGACAGAGAAACATTTAATAGCACTGATGGAATGCCACTTGAGTTACCATCGGAAAATATCTCCCTCAACCCAAAGTCAGTTGAGAATGAAAGTTACTGAAAATGCTCTGAATAAACGTAATCTAGCAAACATGATTATTACCCCTTGCCTCCTTTAAAACAGCTCAACACAGTTATATTGACCCATAATTGAGATAATTTATGTAACACATAGCCTATTTCATAACAAAATACTAACTACTATTTGGACTTTATTGAACATGGTGCACTGGAAATCACTGGCTGTTTTCAAGTTGTTTCCTATTGCTGACAGAGCAGTGACTCAGAGCTGCTGTGTAGAGTCTTGAGCAAGTATTGGAGCACATGACACTAGTGTGCAAACAGCATGAAATTCAAACATTACAGTACATTTTCCACTGAATGCTCATCACTTTTCTTTTATACATCATTACTGGAGATTGAAATCAAGGCCTTGTGCATGTTACACTTGTTACTTTAGATTGGACACACAGCCCCAAGATGTTTACTTTATGTTGTAGTGGACTTTGCTCCACTGTCCAGACTGACCTTGGTATGGCACCTCCTGCCTCAACATCCCAAGTAGCTGGCATGCAAGTTGGGCACCACCATGCCTCACTGAAATTTCATTTGCCAAACACTGTAATGCTGGTTGACAGAGATGATTAAAAACAAAACAAAATACAACAAAACACAGTGATGATAAAGGAGTCCATCTTAGCAACTGTCATCTCAGCACTCCAGGATGCTGAGAAAAGATCAAAAGTTCAACCACTGTAAACCAGGTATGGTGGCGCATTTCTGTAATTCCCAGCACTCAGGATTGCCACTGGGCAAAAGGATTGCCCCTTGTTGGAGGCCAGCTTGGGTTATATAGTGAGGTCAAGGCCATCCTAAAATACATAGCAAAACCTGGTCTAAAAAAACAAAAAACAAACACAAACAAATAAAAGGTTCGGGGGCTGGGAATTTAGCTCAGCAGCAAAGCGCCTGCCTGGCAAGCACAAGGTCGTGAGTTCGGTTCCGGGTACCGGAGAAAAACCAAAAAAATAAACGGTTCACCGCAGCCTGGACAACACAGTGAGACCCAGTCTCAAATTAAAGAAAGAAAACTTATTGCAAAGTATAGGAGAAAAAAAGCATGGGGAATCTACTTCAGAGCAGAAGTGCTGAGTTCAACCTTCTGTGTGACACAAACATCCACAACTTGAAATATTTGTATCCTGGATAAATCCCTTCCCATCACACTTAGCTAATAATACTTACCCATTTTAAAACCAGACAAGGCCAGACACTTTCCCAATTTTCAGTTTTCCTCAAAAATGTTTAGGGCTTGGCATGTTTGAGCATACCTCTAATATTACCCCTTGGGAGGTTGAGGCAGGAAGATCATGATGAGTTTGAGGCCAGCCTGACCTAACTAAATAGCATGACTGTTTCAATAAACCAAAGCCAAAAAGAATGAACAAAGAAACAAAACCAATCTCAGCACTTAAGAGGCTGAAGCAGGAGGATTGCTGTGAGTTCAGGTCTGCCTGGACTACATAGTGAGTTCAACGTCTGCCTGGGCTACATAGGCAGACCTATTTCAAAAAACAAAAACAAACATACAAACAAATAAAAAAGAACAGACAGCTCCTTCAGGTAGTAGTCCTTATCTGGAACACATTCCTCTGCCTTCCCTAATACAGTAACACCTGCTCCATGCTCCCCGGTATTCTAAACTCTGTGGAAAAGCCTCACTTAAAGGGTCTGTTACTTGATAGCCCACCTAAAAAATTAATTAAGATGATTCTTTTTTACATTGTTGTGTATAAGACACAGGAGCTCACCTCAGGCTCACCAAGGGCTCCACCACCAAGTCTCATCACCAGCAATGTTAAACCTTTCAAGGGATTCGCATGGCATTTATAATCACCAATCACGAGTGTGGCAATGTGGGCACATTTTAGAAACTTAGGAATTCACTCTCATCACGAAGGAGCATTGGCCCGAGGAGGCCAGGTGTGAGTTTGAGAGCACGTATCACAGAGCTTTATAAAATTCGTGTCCACTGGGTCTGCTGGTGGGAGGAATGACAGCAGGGAAGCCACACATCACAGCTCCCCAGCTCGGACCTCCCACAACAGGGTCTCCCCACAACTCCCACTGTCTGTCCCTACCTGAGACCGCACTAATGGCCGACAGCGTGGCCGAAGGAAAACACGGTGTTGAGTAACCAAAATGTACCTGCCTGAGCCAGGGCAGGAGGGACTCATGGTACACAGCGCTAGAGCCCGGGGGACTCAGGCAGAGCTCGCAGGGCGGCTCCAGCCCTCCACTGCTGTTCCGACCTCTTCCCTCCGGACCTCAGCCCCCGCCATCTCGAGCCCCCGCCATCCCACAATATCGCCATTGCGTGGCTTCAGGGTCTCCCACGGGCCTTCTCCATAGTCTGTAGCCGGTAGAACCCCTAAAGCGAGCAAGTTAAGCAGCTGGGCGGACTCTGAGCAGGGGGCTCAGGATTCGGACTTTGGCGCTGGGAAACAGAACCCTCCTCCTTTGGCCACCTGATTGGACAGCCCTACCGCCCGCCCCTCAACGCTGATTTGCTGCTACTACTCGGCCTGCCCTCTAAACTGAGATTGACAAGAGAAGAGAATCCCTACCAGTGTAAATAGAGCTCAAAAACTAGATTGTAACCTAGAGACTTCAAGAATAGTTTCTCTCCCAAGATGCACATTGGCCCTAGCCTTGGTTTAAGCAGTATTATTCCTGGATTTGCAGAGACACCTCTGCTTTTTTTCTTATGGCAAGCGTCTCGCTGTGTACTTCAGTCTACTTTAGATCTCAGTATATAGCCTAGGCTGGCCTTGAACTCTGCCATCCTCCTAAATCAGCCTTCCCTGGTCTGGGTTTGCTGGCGTGTACCACCACGCCTAACTCCTCCTGTCTTTTTAGTAGACTCACAGGGCTCTTGCTGTGTGTTTTTCCTCAAAATGGAAACACAAATGTACTAAAACAGTTTCAGAGTTAAAACACCATGCAGAAATCACTTTGAGAAGACATCATGAATTCAGGCAAGGCCCAAACACAATGAACAGATGGAGGGCCTGATGCAGTGAGAGGTAAAAATTTGCAATAAGGTTGTTGGCTTCATGGACAAGACTTCCTCACACTGTATCTCTCAATTAACTCTTTTTTTTTAATTAACTCATTTTAATCAAAGTAAATATATGTATGTATGTGTATCTATATATATACATATATATATCAGAAAGGCAATATAATAATTGAATAAATGCATTTCATGGAGTTGACTCAAGGAAACTTGTAGACTTCAGACCATCTCTAAGGCTGCTGTTCCTCCAGTTCCCTTTGCCCAAGTTGAAACTCTTCCTCTTTCAACACACAACTAATCCTAGAAGAAAAATATTTCCTGGATTCATGAGATACTCTCGATTAATATCTCCTTTTGATGGAGAGGTGGGTAGAATACTAGTGAAGCACTTTCTGGTATGCCTGATGGAGTCTGTGTGACAAGAGGGACCAGATCTTCTTCCTCCCACTTCTTCTCTGCCACTTCTTTTGCTCTGTGCTTCCTGGTTCTTATATTCTGGTTACCTTTCTTTATTCATTTCCTTCCACTCTGATATTTCCCTTCTGAGTCAAATCATAACTGACCTCAGCCTCTGAATCCCTGAGCTAAAACATGTCTTTTACTCTTAAGTTCTGAATGTCAGGTATTTTGTGCCTACACTAAGAAACTAACAAAATTAATAGATGTGTGAGGAAAATAAATTGCCAGATGTATCAAACTTTTCTTCAAAACACTGTACAAGTGAGTTTTCTCTGTGACTCCTCTTCGATGATAATCTGTATATGAACTTATTTCAGTGTGACTCCAGCAACACTTTGCGTACAAAATCACTTTCTAGGGAAAGCCACATGGTAGCCAGTGAGAACCTGTGAAAGGACAAATCCCTCAACACCATTTTCACATGTTCATCTGCTTTCCACTGCTCCGCACCTGTGGCTGTCAACACTGCTCCTGGAGCTGTTCTGAGCAGAGAGAAGCAACACACCAAAGGTGTCTGCAGGCCAGGATGCCTTGAGGGGATGCTCATGCCTTTCCTCTTAGACTCAAGGTACATTTCAGCTTCGAGTCATTGGATTTATGACTCTCCTCCCCACTACAGTTTGTTCCCGTGTTTATACTAACAGTGATGGGTTATGTGACATAATATACTCAATTCAAGTCTTTTAATTTAAACCAGGAGAGTCCCTTGTTTTCCCTCCGTGATTATTAACAATTAGATAAAGCCAGTTCTAACACATTGGGTCTGCATTTAAAACATGTAGGAAGTTCTCTTTATTGAAAAGCCAAAATGCCTTGAAACTTATTTCCGTATGCAGAAGATATGGGAAAAACCTAATCAAATGTAAGTTTTCCACTCTTTTCTGTGTATTGATAGTTCCTTTCGGCATTTCAGTTGAACCTTGTCATTAGATGCTCTGTGCCTAGGGATTTACATACTCTATTGACCTTTTAGAACAATCTCTTTATTCTCACACAGTACAATAGATCCACTTAATTGTTTCTCTAGTCTAACCCTGACCATTTTAATGGGAACCCATGGAACTTTTAATCTTCTGGAGGCTCAGTCACATTCTGTTATTTCGATTTTTTTCTTTGTTTGTTTTTCAAAACAGTGTGTGACTATGTAGTTCCAAGTGACCTTGAACTCACTGTGTATCCTAGGCTGGCCTCCAACTGATGTTGATCCTCCTGCCTCAGTCTCCCAAGTGCTGAGATCACAGGCATGGACCACCATGCCAGACTTATTTCAACTGTTTATTTAAAATTGTGTTACACTACTTATAGTGATATTTTGGGCAAATTCTAGGGACAAATTTATTGTGTCTATTCTGCACAGCCTGAAAAACTATGAGAACACAATTAGAATATTACATACCTGAATTCTAATACAAGTTGTTCCGAGGCTCTTGGAAATTTTAAAGTGAAAACTCTTCTCTTTGTAGCATAGTGACACTGCTTGGGGAATTGTTAATCGTTTCTTGGTTGGGAATTATCCGAAATCCAGAAAACCAAAGAATGCTTAAAAGATAGACAATGTGAAAAATATTTTTATTTGTAATTGATGAGTGGGATGAAAAATTAAGCCCCACCTATGGGACCTGTGGAAAGAGGAAATTGTCTTGATAATTAGCTGATAATCAAAATCTAATAAGCTAATAAATCCTGTCAATATATAAGAATATTATTTCCTTGTAATAAAAGCTATCATTTTCATTACATAATTTTTTGGTCTTTCTGAGACACGGTTTCACTATGCAGTTCAGGCTGGCCTTGAACCCACTTTCTAGTCCAGGCTCACTCAAGCTCAGGGTAATCTACCTGCCTCAGCCTCCTGAGTGCTCGGGTTACAGGTGTGCACCGCCACACCTTGGCTACTACGGTGTATTTTTATTGTTATTCCCTGTTTGGTTGGTCCAAACTTGGTCTGCAGTGCCTGTATGTACCCCTACCCTTCTTTTTCATTTTTCCTACCTCTAGTAAATGTGAAACTTTGCCATTATTTTTTGTTTCATTCAATGAATTTACTTGTCTGGACCAAAAAGGAAATTGGACTCCAGATGCCATAAGAGTGGGGATTTACTCCATACATTTGTGTGAATGCTGTCTGTACACACAGACAGGCACACTCCAGTTGAGAAGCCTGCGCTTTTATTCCTAACTTGCAGGAGTCCTCCCCCCATCTCTCATGGCCTGGGATCTGGGGTTCAGTCTATCCTAAGCAATCTATCTCAGCCCACACCTCTTATTTTGCTTTTCTCTCTTCTCCTTCTTGCCCCTCCCTCGCTCCGCATTTCTCTTTGTAGTTATTTTTTTTTACTTCCAGAACAGTAATTTGAGAAGGCTAGTTTAGCACTTATCTCTTACCCCAGAACCTTATCTCTGGTGTGAGTCTTTTTACAGCCTG